TCCAATTTAAATTTTTACCTGGATTTTCAGCTATTTTAGGAGGGGCTTTCCCCCTGGGGGGCCCCTTGGTGGGTTGAGAGGCGAAACTTGGTTTTTAGAGGGTTTTGGGGTTAGGAAGTACCCATTTTTTTATCTAAAATTGGCCCCCACCTACCCCGGAACATAAATCGATGGGGGAAAAGTTTTTCAATCTTGATTTTTACCGGGATTTCAGCTTTTTTTAGGATGGGGGGGCCCCCGGGGAGTGGCCTTTGAGTGGGTCGAGGGGTCGAAACTTGGTTTTTATGATGGTTTGGGTTGGGCCCGGGTACCCATTTTTATACAAAAAACCTGGGCCCCCCTCCCCCGGGGGAAATTTAAAATCGCTTTGGGGGTGAAGATTTTTGGGGTTTCGGGGTTTTTTTTTTTTTTGGGGTTTGCCCTGGATTTCAGCTCTATTTTTGGGATGAGCGTGGCCCCTGGGAGTGGCCTGAGTGGTTTGAGAGGTCAAAACTTGGTTTTATGATGGTTTTGGGATAGGCAGTACCCATTTTTATACTAAATATGGGCCACCTACCCCGGAACATAAATCGCTACGGGGGTCAAGATTCTCAGTCTGATTTGTATGGGATTTGACCTGGATTTCAGCTATTTTGGGATGGGCGAGGCCCCTGGGAGTGGCCAGAGTGGTTTGAGAGGTCAAAACTTGGTTTTTATGATGGTTTGGGATAGGCAGTACCATTTTTATACTAGAAACATGGGCCACCTACCCGGAACAAAATCGCATACGGGGGGTAAAGATTTTCAATCTTGATTTTACCTGGATTTCAGCTATTTTAGGATGGGCGTGGCCCCTGGGAGTGGCCTGAGTGGTTTGAGAGGTCCAAACTTGGTTTTTATGATGGTTTGGGATAGGCCAGTACCCATTTTTATACTAAAATATGGGCACCACCCTACCCCCCGGACATAAATCGCCATACGGGGGTAAAGATTCTCAGTCTGGATTTGTATGGGAATTGACCTGGATTTCAGCTATTTTGGGATGGGCGTGGGCCCTGGGGAGTGGCCTGAGTGGTTTGAGAGGTCCAAACTTGGTTTTATGATGGTTTGGGATAGGCAGTACCCATTTTTATACTAAAATATGGGCCACCTACCCCGGCACATAAATCGCATACGGGGGGTAAAGATTTTCAATCTTGATTTTACCTGGATTTCAGCTATTTTAGGATGGGCGTGCCCCTGGGAGTGGCCTGAGTGGGTTGAGAGGTCGAAACCTTGGATTTTATGATGGTTTGGGATAGGCAGTACCCATTATCTATACTAAAACATGGGCACCTACCCGGAACATAAATCGCATACGGGGGTAAAGATGTTCAATCTTGATTTTACCTGGATTTCAGCTATTTTAGGATGGGCGTGGCCCCCTGGGAGTGCCTGAGTGGGTTGAGAGGTCGAAACTTGGTTTTTATGATGGTTTGGGATAGGCAGTACCATTTTTATACTAAAACATGGGCCACCTACCCCGGAACATAAATCGCATACGGGGGTGAAGATTCTCAGTCTGGATTTGTATGGGATTTGACCTGGATTTCAGCATTTTGGGATGGGCGTGGCCCCTGGGAGTGGCCTGAGTGGTTTGAGAGGTCAAAACTTGGTTTTTATGATGGTTCGGATAGGCAGTACCCATTTTTATACTAAAATATGGGCCACCCTACCCCGGAACATAAATCGCATACGGGGGTCAAGATTCTCAGTCTGGATTTGTATGGGATTTGACCTGGATTTCAGCTATTTTGGGATGGGCGTGGCCCCTGGGAGTGGCCTGAGTGGTTTGAGAGGTCAAAACTTGGTTTTTATGATGGTTTGGGATAGGCAGTACCCATTTTTATACTAAAACAATGGGCCACCTACCCCGGAACATAAATCGCATACGGGGGTAAAGATTTTCAATCCTTAATTTTACCTGGATTTCAGCTATTTTGGATGGGCGTGGCCACCTGGGAGTGGCCTGAGTGGTTTGAGAGGTCAAAACTTGGTTTTTATGATGGTTTGGGATAGGCAGTACCCATTTTTATACTAAAACATGGGCCCACCTACCGGAACATAAATCGCTTACGGGGGTAAAGATTCTCAGTCTGGATTTGTATGGGATTTGACCTGGATTTCAGCTATTTTGGGATGGGCGTGGCCCCTGGGAGTGGCCTGAGTGGTTTGAGAGGTCCAAACTTGGTTTTTATGATGGTTTGGGATAGGCAGTACCCATTTTTATACTAAAATATGGGCCACCTACCCGGAACATAAATCGCATACGGGGGTAAAGATTTTTCAATCTTGATTTTACCTGGATTTCAGCTATTTTAGGATGGGCGTGGCCCCTGGAGTGGCCCTGAAGTGGGTTGAGAGGTCGAAACTTGGTTTTTATGATGGTTTGGGATAGGCAGTACCCATTTTTATACTAAAACCTGGGCCACCTACCCCGGAACATAAATCGCATACGGGGTAAAGATTTTCAATCTTGATTTTACCTGGATTTCAGCTATTTTAGGATGGGCGTGGCCCCTGGGAGTGGCCTGAGTGGGTTGAGAGGTCGAAACTTGGTTTTTATGATGGTTTGGGATAGGCAGTACCCATTTTTATACTAAAACATGGGCCTCCTACCCCGGAACATAAATCGCATACGCGGGGGTGAAGATCTCAGTCTGGATTTGTATGGGATTTGACCTGGATTTCAGCTATTTTGGGATGGGCGTGGCCCTGGAGTGGCCTGAGTGGTTTGATAGGTCAAAACTTGGTTTTTATGATGGTTCGGGATAGGCAGTACCCATTATTATACTAAAATATGGGCCACCTACCCCGGAACATAAATCGCATACGGGGGTCAAGATTCTCAGTCTGGATTTGTATGGGATTTGACCTGGATTTCAGCTATTTTGGGATGGGGCGTGGCCCTGGGAGTGGCCTGAGTGGTTTGAGAGGTCAAAACTAGGTTTTTATGATGGTTTGGGTAGGCAGTACCCATTTTTATACTAAAACATGGGCCACCTACCCCGAACATAAATCGCATACGGGGGTAAAGATTTTCAATCTTGATTATTACCTGGATTTCAGCTATTTTGGGATGGGCGTGGCCCCTGGGAGTGGCCTGAGTGGTTTGAGAGGTCAAAACTTGGTTTTTATGATGTTTGGGCTAGGCAGTACCCATTTTTATACTAAAACATGGGCACCTACCCCGGAACATAAATCGCATACGGGGGTAAAGATTTTAAAGTCTTGATTTGTATGGGATTTGACCTGGATTTCATCTATTTTGGGATGGGCGTGGCCCCTGGGAGTGGCCTAGTGGTTTGAGAGGTCCAAACTTGGTTTTTATGATGGTTTGGGATAGGCAGTACCCATTTTTATACTAAAATATGGGCCACCTACCCCGGAACATAAATCGCATACGGGGGTCAAGATTTTCAATCTTGATTTTACCTGGATTTCAGCTATTTTAGGATGGGCGTGGCCCCTGGGAGTGGCCTGAGTGGGTTGAGAGGTCGAAACTTGGTTTTTATGATGGTTTGGGATAGGCAGTACCCATTTTTATACTAAAACATGGGCCACCTACCCCGGAACATAAATCGCATACGGGGGTAAAGATTTTCAATCTTGATTTTACCTGGATTTCAGCTATTTTAGGATGGGCGTGGCCCCTGGGAGTGGCCTGAGTGGGTTGAGAGGTCGAAACTTGGTTTTTATGATGGTTTGGGATAGGCAGTACCCATTTTTATACTAAAACATGGGCCACCTACCCCGGAACATAAATCGCATACGGGGGTGAAGATTCTCAGTCTGGATTTGTATGGGATTTGACCTGGATTTCAGCTATTTTGGGATGGGCGTGGCCCCTGGGAGTGGCCTGAGTGGTTTGAGAGGTCAAAACTTGGTTTTTATGATGGTTCGGGATAGGCAGTACCCATTTTTATACTAAAATATGGGCCACCTACCCCGGAACATAAATCGCATACGGGGGTCAAGATTCTCAGTCTGGATTTGTATGGGATTTGACCTGGATTTCAGCTATTTTGGGATGGGCGTGGCCCCTGGGAGTGGCCTGAGTGGTTTGAGAGGTCAAAACTTGGTTTTTATGATGGTTTGGGATAGGCAGTACCCATTTTTATACTAAAACATGGGCCACCTACCCCGGAACATAAATCGCATACGGGGGTAAAGATTTTCAATCTTGATTTTACCTGGATTTCAGCTATTTTGGGATGGGCGTGGCCCCTGGGAGTGGCCTGAGTGGTTTGAGAGGTCAAAACTTGGTTTTTATGATGGTTTGGGATAGGCAGTACCCATTTTTATACTAAAACATGGGCCACCTACCCCGGAACATAAATCGCATACGGGGGTAAAGATTCTCAGTCTGGATTTGTATGGGATTTGACCTGGATTTCAGCTATTTTGGGATGGGCGTGGCCCCTGGGAGTGGCCTGAGTGGTTTGAGAGGTCCAAACTTGGTTTTTATGATGGTTTGGGATAGGCAGTACCCATTTTTATACTAAAATATGGGCCACCTACCCCGGAACATAAATCGCATACGGGGGTCAAGATTCTCAGTCTGGATTTGTATGGGATTTGACCTGGATTTCAGCTATTTTGGGATGGGCGTGGCCCCTGGGAGTGGCCTGAGTGGTTTGAGAGGTCAAAACTTGGTTTTTATGATGGTTTGGGATAGGCAGTACCCATTTTTATACTAAAACATGGGCCACCTACCCCGGAACATAAATCGCATACGGGGGTAAAGATTTTCAATCTTGATTTGACCTGGATTTCAGATATTTTGGGATGGGCGTGGCCCCTGGGAGTGGCCCGAGTGGGTTAGGAGGTCGAAACTTGATTTTTATGATGGTTTGGGGACAGGTACTAACTATTTAAACCCCTAAACCTGTTCCAAATACCCCGGAACACAAATCGCATACAGGGGTGAAATCGCATACAAATCGCATACACAAATCAAGGAAACGTGCTCTCACATGATAGCTGATAAGTAAGGTTGATCACTATAAAAGGTACCCGCCAGGAAGCGTAGAAGTTCGATAGTGTTGAGGAAAGTCTTCGTAGAATCTAGAATCATGCCAATACAATGCTGAAATGATAGAAATTTAGATCATAGTACTGTCATTAAAAGGCAACTTTGATGGGTCGACTGTCAGCTTTATTTTGACAAAGGAAAGATCGAAAAGTCTTCCAAATTTCTTTCTGTACGGGACCGTTCACACATTACGCAATCACTTTTTGGCCAATCCCCCCTCCCCCCTCCGTAATCAGTTTTACACATAGCTATTGTGTCAAAGTTATACCAGCGTAATCATTCGGAAAATCCCCTCCCTCTCCGTTGATTCAGTAATATGTGAACGACCCCTAGGCGATAATTTTCGTATGTGGTATGGACGGTGTTTCCAAAAAACCAGTCTGAGAGTCTGCTTCTGATTTAATCATGAGATAATAAGCAGTTCAATTTCATTACGAGGGTTTAGGAACGCTCAAGCCATTCCTTTGCCGTTCAGCTAATCCAATGTTGAACGTATCACAACAAGTTCCGATAGGTGGTGTGTAGGCCCAGCATTACCGAATTCAGAGATTCGATAAATTAAATCATCTAGCCGTCACATGATTGAGTTTTAAGTACGCGCACATTACGCGCATCAATTACAGCGCATGCGCGGCTCTAGTGCTACACGAAAATGTAATAGCGCGCTACGTGAACGACACTGAAAACAAGTGAAGAAGCCAAGATTGTCACAAAATACCTGCAATGTACTGATATGTGCAGCATAAGCTTTGTTGCTGACTAAGGTCCTGATGTTATCCATTGCTTTTCCAGCTTCACTTGTCAGGTTATGCCTCGAGCTGTTTGTCCGCAACGATCCGTCCTTGTTTATCTAGATATTTCAGCGTTAATACCTAATAATTGGGAACAATAAAAACGTCACATCTTGAACCAATTAAAACATCAATAAGACCATTCAATGTTTATAAATAGATTTACCTGATGTAAAACATATGTGGCGAAAATCCTAGTAGTCAGTCTGAATTCTAAACTGTATTTTGACTTCTTGCCAAACCAATTGGTGAAAAGCCCGCCAGTTTCTCTGTCTTCGGCCAACTTCAACATTGTTGTCGGCAGTTGCTTTATTATAGAGCTAATTGCTGATGACCTGTGGAAATGGTAGTTGCTTTGTTTTTATTCAGATATATATGATACTGACGAAGAGTAATTCAATTATGATAATTTGGTCAGAATGTTTAAAATGAGACACTAGACAAATATAAGATTAAAACTTTAATAAGATGAGCAATAATTTGATTGTTCTAAACACCACTGTACGAAATCTTTTAGAATACGAAAAAATGCCGAACCGACAATATGATACATTTGAAAAAATGAAATGAAACGAAAATACAACTGTAATACTGAATATAAAACAGCGGGTTTCCAATGCTGTATTATAATTTATATGTGATAATGCGTGCAGTGAACCTTACCGAATGCCGTTTTCATGCAGCGACATCATGATCTCGAATATTTTAAACCAAAGTAGGAGCATTTTTTGTTCTTCTTTTGGTTTGGGTTGTATACGAGATGAACAGTCTATCAACATGGCTACAGCTGAATAACTACCGTCTACATCTTCCGACCTGGAAATGATAATTGCAAATAATTTAAATATCTTTGTTTATCTTTTATTTGACTTATGTTTACAAATGTAAAGAGAACAATAAAATACACCAAACCACGCACTCTGAAATCATTAAACTCAACATATTGGATCAGGTAGATAATCATCCCTAAAACTTACTGAAAATGTCCTGAAGTTGAATACACGCATCCCACAAGCAACTAACTTTCCAAACCATGCAGTGAACTGTTTTTATAAAATTTCAAACAAATACCCCAAATATTTCTCTCAACAACCACACCCACATAACGTGTACACTCACAGTGCAAGAAGGTGGGTAGTATAAAGGTAGATATTAAGAGGACAGCTCTCCTGAACACTGTGGTTTATAAAGTTATCGTAGGTCATGTCAGAGATCAGGAACCGTTCATGTAGTGTGGTCCAGCTAACGCTGAGCACAGGGAAACTACTCTCACAGTGGGTGAAGTAGCTTTCTATCAGGACCTGCAGTGGGAATTGTAATAATAAATATTTTTAATATTTTTAATAATTACTATATTTCCTGTATACTGTCTGTTGTAAATTTCTTAAAGTTATTGAGTTCGAACACATGATTAACTTTCTTTCGGAAATTTAATTTTTAAAGACTCAATTCTATCACTAATCAAGACTCTCTCCTGACAGTGAATCAATGATTAACGAACATATTAACATAGTATAATAGCCTGTCAAACATACCTCGCATACCACCGCCTGCATCTTGACATTGTGAACAGTACAAGTAAGGACTGATAAGTAGTACAAGCTGAGTTGAGAGAAAGAGAAACCCTCTTTTATACTGCCGTGCATCTTCAGGGCTGATTCTATCTTCCTGCAGAGGGGGTTGGAGTAATTAATCAATTAATTGTGTAAATCTTGTAATACATAAACAATAGTCCTATCAAATAGGATGCAGGAGCTGGGACGTACACCTACTTTAATTGGTGAAGAAGTGAGATGTATTTAGTCACAAAGAGCGCTGATCAGGATTAAATACGAAGGGAAATTAAATAACTCTTTGACTTTATAAAGCTGTCTAGAGAGATGGATCATGATGTTGGTTTGGTCAGCTCAAACAAGCTCCCTACACATCATTGTTCAAACTCTGCAATAACTCAATAAGCAATTACAAAACATAGTCGTTAGTTTTAGAGCGCTATAGTAGTTTTAGTCTGTTACACTGATAATGTGAGACATGTTATTATATAGCCTTTTTAGTCTGGTTTAAACTGTGTTGGAATATTTAATATCAATGAGATCAAGTGTACGTATTGTGTCAGGTCTAAAATATACATAGCCATTAGCCAAATTATGCATGGTTATAAAGTACGGGTTATTGGCTGATCTAGCGTATATTACCAAGGGAAATAGATAAAATATTGAACAGTGAACTTCAAAGAAATGTTTTTAAATAACAGTACCCAGAATTGTACGTGATGTGGTAGTAATTGATTATAGTTTAAGGGAGACACCGAGTAATCACCGAGTAATCACCGAATAATCACGCATTCTGTCTCAGACTGGGACACAGAATATTTCTAACTTTTGTTTTAACTCAGAATGGAACTGAACGTTTCTAACTTTTGTTTTAACTCTATAAATAGACACGCTCAGTATTGAAGATAAGAGTATGTAAAACTAAGTGGTACGAATGTAATGTGTAAAACCAATCTGAGTAGCTGGAACTGCCTGGTATCTGGCTAAGAACAGTTCAACAATAGGTAAAGATTGAAAAGCTTGGCGATTTGCCAGTTGCAGTGCACAATAAACTAGGGGATAGAGAGAAACAGAGAGAGAGGGAGGGAGGGGGCAACTTACTTGACTGCAAGAGAGTGAGTGTTCATATCACAAGGAGTAGTATTGAACAGCCTAAATAACTCTCCCCCCAACTCTGAGATGTGAAGTTCAGTGCAGCCAGTGTAAAATACTTGCTCCACGTTGTACAACAGTGATTGTACTAACGTTTCAGCGTACTGTGGGACAAGATTGGTTGTTAGAATGTTATTACCTATGATAATATGTTATTACTTATAATATGTATATACAATAAATAGTGACGTATTCTGCTTCCACCCCCTTTTACCTTCTCAATTCCAAAATATACCGAATGCCCAGAAGCAAAAACCCAAGAACTTTAAAGAAGGAAATTATATAAAATATAAAAACCTGAGCGTTAGATATCTTAGTGATGATATTGACCACGTGACGGAAGTATGTGATCTGTTTAACGTAGCTCACCCCCTGTTGACTAAACCTACATAGCACCCCCATAAACTGTATCAAGTGACCAGTACTGGTAACTGGCTGGATGAACTGGCTGCGCTGCACTGTTGTGTCTATACGGGACATTATTGAGCTGAACCTGAGGAACAGGGAGGTCTGGTTACTATATTGGTTACTATATTGCATTGGTTACTTTAAATACTGTTTTGGTTATTGTATTAGTCACCCAATCGGTAACTATATAAATATTGGTTAATATACAATATACTATGTTAACCCCAGCTCAGATTTCAATTGGTTGGCAACGAACAAAAAAAGTGTGGTGATATCGGACAACAGAAGATATTTCAGTTCTAAACTAGATTACTAAGCGCAAGTATCAATTAATATCTCCAAAGGACACGTCATCACTAAGATACGCAATTAAACAACAAACCCCTCATCAGAGACTAGACTCAGATCTAGAGACTTGAACTGCCGGAAGAGTCCGGTAAACTCCTGTCCGAACTGCTGGAATATGTCCTGGTTCAGAGCGAATGTTATCAGGACATCCACCAGCATGTCAAAGGCGTGGGACTCTTTCTTCAGCTCACCTACCACTGTCTGCCAGTTTACCTGGGAGGGGAATGTGTCTTACATAAAGATGACGTCATGATGATGGAGGATAATGTTTAATTGACGAATGTTATGAGATGTTTGTAAAACACAAGAAAATATTATGTTACTTGAGTCTAACACAAGGAAATATTCTGTTACCTGAGTCATGACGAATATGACGAAGCTGATGTTCTTCCTGTTGTTCCGCACACACTTCAATAGAGAATGTAGTATTTCCAGAGTCGGTACAAACTTGTTCCACGGCAGGGTCTTGAAATGCTCGTAGTATATTTCTATAATACTGCCAGGGACTATGGGATGTCCTAGTATGTCCATGTAGTACCTGTGATAATAAGAATATTAAAAATTTAATTTGCTGGTTTTCAAATTGCTGACGTTAATCAGGATTATCATTATATGAATAGAGATGATCGAGTGTAGAGATTTTAGGGAATACTAAATAGTACAGTAAAATCCTGTTTTACAGTACAGTTTGAGGAAAAGGAAAATGGTACAGTAAATCGGGGTATTTCAGTATGGGATACACCCAAAGTTGCTTTACAACGTCGTATTGTATCGAGACAGTAGCATTAGACATTTGATCATCCATAATGAATGAGAGAGTACAATCTAAGGGACACCTTCTTGGAAAGATTCTCACTTGTTAACCTCGGCTCTCTAACATCTTATCCCTTTCCTTCCTATCACAGTATCACATAATCATAACCAATATTGGTCTTGTTTTAGCTTCGCAAGTTCGCAGGAAGGCAGAGATGATAAGTTGCTAGTCTCTAGATTGAATTTTTAGTAACTCACTTAAAGACTTAACTAATAATTATATTAAAAGTGATAAATTATGGAAATTTAAAAGCTATTTTATTAATCACTCACCACCAGAATCTATTGAGAAGAGGTGTAACGTCAGTGATAAGCTCGTTCATTAGATTTAACATTGAGGTGAACGTGGTCAACATCTCCCCCGCCGACTGGGTTAAAATATTATTATTACTTTATTAGAAATACTTGTAACAATACAATATAATATATAATATTTATGACGTGTTAATTCTAGAGATAGAGATATAAAATTTTTACGTACAGATTAAAAAACATATAATAGAATCATGTCGTTAACTAATTATTAACAAATAAAGCTACTTATTAGTAACTAATTAGTAACTAATTAGTAACTAATTAGTAACTAATTAGTAACTAATTAGTAACTATTTAGTAACTAAGCAGTCAGCTACCTCTGTGTGAGACTCGGACCAAGGTAGACAAGCCTCCTCGTATACTAGTATCCAAGGAGCAAACACAGTGCAGGTTATCATGAATATACACGCTGCTTGTTCTTCTGTCGGGGCTGGGAATGATGAGGAGTTAGTAAGTTAGAACCAGGTTTACCAGGTAAACCTGGTTAACTGGTTAACCTGGTAAACCTGGTAACCTGGTAACCTGGTAAACCTGGTTTAAGTCTCAATAAATACACATGTATTACTGGTTAGGAGGGTCCTAATTACTGGTTAGGAGGGCTGTACTGCCAGTACTGCCAGTACAGCAGCTAATACACTGCCAGTACAGCAGCCACACTGCTAGCAGACAGTTCTAAATTGTATTGACAAGGATTGAGACAAATTTCAAATTAAGAACTGGTAGACATTCGGGTAATTAACATGACGTTATTGATCATCATCGGATCATACATATTAAGATTAGATCTTTATACTGGTATTGGTATTTACTAGCGGTCTTGTGAGCTAGCATTGCAAGCAGCATGCAGTAAGAATGGACAGTCTGAACTCTGACATGAGTCAAGATATTTATATTGTATGATCCTACAGTGTAGGTCAGCAATTTCTCACCCTAAAGAGAAAGTAGTCATGCAAAGAGTTCAATAATATTCTAGAAATAAAGGTTTTCCGGTAGCTTATTTCAGCATTTGCATTCAAGAAGTTATTATGAAATTCCGGTACATTCCGATGTGCATGGCAGGGTAACTAACAAGTTCTGGTTCTAGATGTTGCGCCCTTTATTTGAAAAGAAGCAATCTTCGGGTTCAACGGATGTGAGGGTCTTGATCGTTGGTAGCCTGGATTTGAAAATATGTTCGTGAAATTCTTTTCATTACTTGAAATATTGAAATATTCTACAATTTATACATACATATTAGCGTTGATACAAGTTAAAACAATCTAAGTTCAGAATTTTGTTATCTTATAAAACATTTTCTGCATTTCAACCTCGCTCAGATACAATATAATAAAGCTAAGCTGTGTATAGATATAATATATCTGCGTCCTGCGATATCACTATCAATCCAAACTCGCCAGTCCCATGACATTTAGAATACATATATATTATTACTATGGAGATATCATAATAATATTAATTTTATGCTGTATCAATATACATACAAGTCCCATGACACACATTATTATATAATATTCACTTTCAAGTACACGTTGTGACTTCTCAGGCACATATTTCTTATTCCTACAGCCGATAAGAAGTGGCAGGTAGGATAAGAAGTGTCACGTACGGACGGAATGCTTGCCAAGTTCCTTTACTCGCAATCAGCGTGCTGAACATGGCGTGACGTATCTTCGTATGCTTGTAATAAACAGTAATCAAGTACCGGGTTAATTTTATAACACGAGCAAAAAGTTAGGTTACACATGCAACAGCACACGTCGCGTGATGCATCAGCAAATATCATTATAAACGGGAAAATTTAATATATGGAAGACATTTATCACCTTAATAACACCAGAATGTGTGTGTGTGTGTGTCTGTCTGTCTGTCTGTCCGTGTGTAATTTCCGGTCGGTTATACAAAAAAAAACGGTAAGAGTTACGGGACTGATTTTTTCGGTATAGTGTGGACAAAACTCTGATGAAGCCCATAGGAAATTTTTTTAAAAATCGGCCGGCGGTAAGTGGTTTAATTGATGGTTTTGTACCACAAATGTTACATAAAATTGCTTGAGCAGAACGGCAAGAGTAACGGGACTTGCTCTCTCTCTCTCTCATTACTGTGTAATATGTTATAGCTGCATTTAAGTAGTGTCATAATTGGATTAGCCCGGAAGACTCGCTGTAATGTTATACCTTAAGCTTATTAGGGGAGGGGGGACTGTTAGTGTTTGGGGTCTGTTTGGACTGCAGAGAGAGAGAGAGAGAGAGAGTTCATACGACAATGGTATGCGTGTTTTCAAATATAATATGCGGGTGTGGTGCGGAGTTAACAAGGGTTAATTTCTATAACGATTTAAATAAAAATAGAAAGCGGTTCAAGACGGGAGTGATGAGGTGTAATACTCGGTGTTCAGACCTTATGATCATGGAGTGTGGTGCCTCATGGCTAATAATGACTTAATTATCCACAAGAAATAACTGATTATGAGATTATTGTTTAAGAAACTATTGGGTCACCTAATGCGGGTTTTGACTCAGCGGGTAATTACTCCTACCCTTTTTAACTGCGGCAGTGAAATCCCGGCCGTAGGCCGGGTTACACTAGTTATTTGATAAAGAGATCTCATCATCCCTACCGATAAAAATATTTGCTGATTTATAGCTGTCCCAATCATAAAAATTTCCGATAACCAGATAAAATATCGAGATAAATATGCAATGAAATTCAGATAAGATATAATCGAGATAAACATAGTACGATAAAATAGTTGACATACCTAAATAACTGGCTTTGTTAATGTAAACAGCGCACATAACCCTGAATAGTTTTATCAGATTGTCAGTGTAATTGCTCCAGTGTGTGTAGAGATCGTGTTCTACTGCTGTCAGTATACTCTTCTTGAACTGAGATGACATTTTAAATTAATTTTATAATTAAGTTAATTAAGTTAATTTTACAATTAATAATAAATTTTAATTATATAATGATATTATTCAATGGCACAATGTAAAATAAGTTTTATTACAGTGTGTTTTGGCGGCACACACTGGCAGCTACTACAGATCGGTATGTGGTTATTATTGAGACTTTTCTAATGTTGACATTCCTTGCTGACTGACCATCTACTTTACAGTTTACAGGTGTATGTGTCAACATTTACAGGATAGTGAGCTCGTGAAATATTCAGCTTTATCAAGAGATTTATTTATTGTAAATTGTTAGATCTACGAAGCTGTGCCATGTATTTTGTAACATAATGTTGAGAACTAGCCGCCGTGCGTTGGTAGTTACAATGAACCGTCCCGTCTAAAATATAGAGCAATTAAAAAGCAATTAATTAATTAAAGCAATTTAAAGTACAAACTTGTAGGAAGTATTTAGAGAGCTCGTAGAGGATCCTGTGACATGTATTGAGAGTCAACACCTCCTGTGCGTGCTCTGTCTCCAGCAGCTCTGGAACAGTAAGGAGTGTTACAGTGGTACAGTGTTACAGTGTTACGGTGTAACAGTGTTACATTGTTACAGTGTAGCGATGTATGGATGGTGCAGTTGTAAGAATCACATTCCAGCAATATTTAGTCTCTATAGGTCCTTGAGGTCGGATCATATTATTGCTGAACAAGATATCTAGAAATAAGCATTTGCATTACTTGTACTTCGTATGTTGATATACTTGAATTTATTAATATATTATAATGTAAATATCTACTACTAAAATAGAGAGCAACAATAAGTTAAATTTAATAACCATACGTACCTAGCAGCGCAGTGTAACTGCAAACGAGACACATATCTACCCAAGACAAAGCCATCCACCTAATTTCACCATTGATTGCCCGAATCCAATCTAAGCCATCACGGATAACTCATTACAGTAGGTCATGATTGCAGGATGTACAGACCAGCATCTAGAACTAACGTTACAACTCGTGAAGGTAGGTGTAACCGTGTAGTGTCAGTAGTATAATAAGTTTGTGGAGTAGTAGCAAGAAGGTATCGTATACATTTAAATTTGTTCTCTTGATTATTTATTAATGATTTTATGTAGGGTCGGCACCAATGTAATTATGGTTTTACCACCGTGTTTTGGTTCAGCCGAAATAAATTTTACTTTGATGTTTACATAATGTTTCTCACTCCAGCTGCAGTCTGGTAGTGTTGAGTCTCATGAATATTTTTTCTAGCTCTCTTTTCCCATGTTTTTGCCTCACAGGAGATATTGTGGTCTTTTCTATTGAATATAACTGTAATACATTGATGTAAAGTTTATTTGAGTTTTGAAATTAAATTAGTAACTTACTACATACATACTACATACCACATACTACTACTTACTAGTGTGTTCTTAGCTGTGTAGATTTTAATATTGATTGTTTTTTGTCTTGATTAAATAATTTTACTGGACCGCCTGATCAGTAAAATTCAGAAATGATAGAACCGAAGAACGTGTGATTGTTAAGATGTTAAAAGGTTATGTCTGAATTTCTGAAGTCTGCACAGGTGAACCAGCTGGGAACACAATCAATTACAATAACCTCCACTATAGACAACCCTCAATTACCCCTCAATTACCCCTCAATTACTCCTCAATTACCTAGAATATCAGTCCATATCTGCTGGTGATGAGGATGTTTGGAAGATATCTCCAGAGTTTTCTCTATCGTGTACTGTAGAAGAGAACACATCCTGTTCGTCACAACTTGCCTGAGACAATTATTTTCGTGACCAGGGAATGTTTACGAGTTAAAATCTACACTAAACATTAGTTCATAACTAATGATGACGGACCAAGTTTGCTCTCTCCCCCTGTTATATGGATATTTGAGATTATACCAAGAGAGAGAGTCACTAGTTAGTAAGTTAGAGAAAAGCTTAACACTCGTCTGACTGGAGAAATCAGGTCGGAAGTGTAAAAATAGCATGTTTGATAATATTTAGGTCTACTTTTGAACCGATAAATGATAAGAACTAAAGAACATTGTCTCAGGTTACAAATCCGTGAGTAAATTTTAAATTTGTTACAAAACTTTGCACTTAATCATGTTAATAATGATGTTAAATGTCAATGATGTCATACTTCAGACAATTGACACTGACAGAACCAAATGCAAGTATTTTTACAGAGAAGTAACACGTTCTATATAAACGTGTTATAAACATGTTATAAACGTTTTTTAAACCCACCTGAGGTGAAGTTTTAGGGTATCGTAGAACATAAGGAATGTAGTATCCTCCCCACTGTAAGTGTAGATATCAAACCCAGAGAAGATAGCATTTAGTAACAATTTACTGTTATCAGTTGAGGCGTGTTGGGTAGTCAACCAGCTCCTTATATCGAACTTTGAGAGCACTGTGAACCCGATCTCGGTGTCACCTGAAAATGAACTGTTAGTGTCACCTGGAAATGAACTGTTAGTGTCACCTGGAAATGAACTGTTAGTGTCACCTGGTAATGTTACACTTGTAATTCGTAACAGACTTGACAGCTTGTTATTGTCGAACTTAAAGAAAACAACAACCCTGCGGTAGTTGGATTCCTGTTTGACGCTTATATGTGATAGTAAAACTAGATCTAACGGTAGTGAGATAAAACTCTTACCTCGGGCCCCCATTGGAGCAGATAACCACACATACTTCTTAAATATTATATTAAATATTTTAAACTAATTAAAACTCTACAAATCTATTACATTTATCGATTATTAATAGATTTTATTAGTATCATGTAATGAAATGGAAGCATTTTAACCAGATGTAACCAGTCCATAATATGACGAATATTTTCAATTCTAGATAAAAAGCTCTAATATGTACGATATTATATTAAGATACCTGATACTTGAGTGAAATGAATCGAAAAAACGTGACCATTTAAAATGATCTGATCATAGAATGTTAGAATGATAATCATGTTTACGACACGACTTAATCTAACAAAACATCTATGACCTTATATGGCTGTATCATTGGTATAAAAAAAGACATGACAACAACAAAACATCCTTACATCTAGAAAGTGATATGATGACATGACTGTAGACGTTGACGAAGTTTTGGAACCCCTGATTTGGTTGGAACAGAGGAGCTAAACTCGTAGCAAACTCCTTCTTGTTCATAATGTAGTTCAGTAAAGAGAGAGTTTCTTCGGGATTGTTCCTGGGAAGATGGCGGTTACGATTACACTGTATTAGGTCACTAATTGTATACAATTTGATCAAGTAATGGAGGAATGATCTGTTCATCATTATTACCGAGTAAGAATTTAAGTTTCTATTGCCAAGTTTATCCAAAAAGTCAGTCAACATCAAGCCAGCTCTAATATAGATAACTGGATTAGGACGGACCTAAACTATTACGTAGTATTTTATCATTAGCGTAGCAGCCCAACCGAATAAAAGCACACAGATTTAACTTCGATGATTTAACCGAAAATTTAGCACGAAAATGCTGCATGTACGCGACTTCCAACAAATTATCCAGAAAAACCTAACAACCTGATGAAGAACTGCCCCAGACAATCGATACTGAAAGCGAATATCTGTTGAGAGGGCGGGTATTTCCAGACAGCTGAGGTGAGGTGATCAACCACATGGTAAAACAACTTCCGGCCCAGTTCCTGGTTGTTCCCTGCTGATTTGTACAGATCTGATACTATCTGGAGGATATTTTAAAGTTATGAGGATTTTATAAATTCTGCTGCTGAATAAAAAAGATTCTAAATAATCTGCTCTACTGTCAGTTAGTTACAAGGCAGTCTCAGCTACGTCAGAGCTGAATAATCGAGAGTTCTAAACGTTCATAATCATCATCGCAGTCGTGGCTAAATATCTAATTGGTTGTGATTCATAATTTTATGTAAGAAAATATAGCTATGATGTATGAACGCAGCGTGTACTTTAAATTTAAATACTGCGATTGTCTATTGTTATTAACTAAATGCCACAATCGTCTCATCAACATTCGGTCCCTCAGAACAACAGACAATTAACATTAACCAACTTCAAACTTCAACTATTATAGTGTTTAAGTCATGAACCGTCCTTAAAATTCTTATACCATTGAAAATTTCTTGTTTCATTAATAGAAGTGGTATTCACGAGTGAGAGCTATAACATCACATCACCACCTGAACACAAACCTAATCTCTCCAGACAGAAGCAATAAAGAGGAGAAAACATTAAACTCTCTTTATATTTACAACCTAACACTTTAGTTAAGTTATATTAGAGATCAGTATTACTGAACTTAAAGTTATGCGTGCCTAACATGATTATAGAAACCTTACTGATTGCCAAATATTAGCTTACCAAGCCTAACGTAACAAACTGTACGAGATTGTGCTATTCTTTTTAGATTTCTTCGCATATTTTATTAGGAAGTATTATAAATTCTGCTGTACTAAATATCTAAAACCTTTTAAAACAATCTGATGTATGGCTTAGGAATTGTTTATTTTTCAAAACAGAAAGGATTGTTTCAACCCTCAAAAAGTAGCCATTATGATCACATCAAAAGATGCCGTGATGACTCTGAAGTTCTCAGAATAAAATTTAATTGTTTTGAAGTGAGTTACATGGTGGAAATTATTTAACACATATAAACGCTACAAATTATGATTTTCAAGAAATGCGAACGTACCCTCTCAAGAAATATGGCTGTAACACAGATGTCATCCTCTAGTTCTAATCTACACTTTTCCAGGGTATCTTCGTAGGTTCCTCTGTTCTCTGCAACATCTGGGATAAAGATAAAATTTAGATATATTGTTACATTATTTTAGATTTTGGTAGTTCTAATAGTTGGGATCCTTGGCTGTCATATCTTGGTAGTCTTGGATTTCAAGATGGCAAATCTGAATGATAAATTGCTATACCACCCTCCAGATTAATAATCATTGTCCATTTACCACCAGCCCCTCATTACTTCTATCACCTATTCTGTTGATGTTCCACTTCGTTCGAGCTGGAAGATGACGATTGACGACATTAATATCAAGAGTCAGAATTACAATCCACCGCGTCCCAATTATCGCGGATAATTATAGCATAGGTAAATTAAAACTTAACTTGAACCGTAAATTTTCTCAAAGTCTGATGAGTCATGTGCCTTGAACTTAAAAAAGGTGCGATCGATTACAACGACTACCAGTTTCATTATAGTTCAGCTGCGGCTCATGGGACAACTAAACTGAGGCAGGTGTTTTAATAATCTCTTCAACTCATCATCTCCTCAGTCCTCGGCAGTATGAGAATTTACAAATTATTTTGCTGCTCTGCTTCAATATATTTTGGCGTCTTGAATTGGGTTGTAAAATGGAAGACATAATTTTCTCGGATCTCTCTTACTACATAAGATCAAGTACTCTAGGAACAGTCACAGTAGTTGGAATACTCTCTAATGTGCAGCATCTTTATCTTTCTTTGTCAGGTTAGTGTCCAAAAACCTCAGCACTAGGTAACGATCAAGTAATTTGTGCCAAAGTTTGTTGACAAATATATTACTATAAATTGTTCAACAGTTCATGCACAATGCACCTTCACCATAAGGACCTCTCCAAACAGGCACCAAAGAAGCAGTTTTGGAGACGCACAGCTGATTGCATTAAACATCACTGATCTGCTGATTTGCTGTTTCTCCTTGGTTAATCTATTCTGCTTCAACGAATATGTAGACTTGCATACACTAGACTTGCGGGAGTATGGTGAAAAGCCTCCTGACGTTGCCAGGGAGAATAACATCGCTTTCTCCCAAAACTGGCAGATTTATGGTGGTCTTCCTTTGTTTTATTTAGCTTTATTGTCATGTTTCATAACAGTTATGTTAAGTGCCACACGGACATTGGCTTTAGCCAAGCCACTCTACAGCATCAGCAGGAAGTTTGTTTATTTGGCTTTTGGCATTTGCATATTGATCCTTCTTATCCTATACGGCACTAAATGCACTATTTTATCCAAGCCAAGTTACTCTTTTATTTTCGAGACAATCGGGATAGTTGAAATATTCACAGTAACCATATTGGTGGTAGTCGTTGGCATATTTACTGTTGTATCAGTGAGGGCTCTAAGAAATTCCAATAAAATCATTGCAGCTCAAAAGATAAAATATGAGAACAGCAGAAAAGCCGCGATTATGATCCTAACACTCTCGACAGTATTTGTGATATGTAATGGAGTGTGGTGTATCATATGGGGGGTTGTAGCTGCAACTGGTTCTACTGGTGAAGATGGTTCTACTGGCGAGGCTAATCTTACTTTCGCCCGGCTGATAAATATAGTTATGATTACATTGAATTCCAGTTGTAATCCTATTGTGTACATATTGAGAAACTCTGCATTGAATGAGTATACAAAGACACATTTCAGGAGATTAGGTAGATTTATTTTAACAATATTCCCAATATTCAAACAATAGGCAGACTAGCGAGACAAAACGTAGGTCGTTTCGCTTAGTACTAATCATATTCAATTAAGTGTTAAAAGAAATGTTTAATATTGAATTGTATGATATTGAAAGAGTCTAAATCTTTAAACATGTTGTGACTGACATATAATTGTTTATCTTTTAAAAGAAAGAAATAAAAAGATTTTTATGAAAGTTTAAGATTGATACTATTTTCTAGATTCTGTTTCAGTAAAGGTGCACACTGTACGTTGTTTTATTAGCTGCAGCTGAAGCCATACAGTCACGACAGTAATGAACATTACCATGAATATAAAATTATTATTAACATATTGAGTTATTAGACCGTATATTATCGATTGTGTTTAAAACATAATAATATGTTGTGCCCTTTTGAAGAAACCGATAAAATATGACAGAAACATTACTTGTTGTTTAAATTTAAAACATTTGACTTCCCAAAAAGACCCGACTACAAAATTATTGTTCAGAAAGTACAAATCAGTCATCGACTCAACGAAGGTCGACCTTAACACTTTTCTTCGGAGACTCGATGAAAGTTCCCTTACTGGACTCCAGAAGTGCTGGGGATATCAGTACATGGTCCTTCCAAAACTGAAGTGGCCTCTTGCCATCTATGATATTCCGTTCACAACAGTTACCAGATGGGAACAGAATACCAACAGTTTCCTCAGAAAGTGGTTAGGGGTGGGGCACACTCTGAGTGGTCTTTGTCTGTTCAGTCAATCATCCAGTGTGGCCTTACCGGTGAGCAGCTTGACAGATACATGGAAGATAGAGAAGTGTCGACTGTTGCAATCTTATCAGACATCTAAGGATGACCTGATTAAAGCAGTCCAGCCCCAAGTTCGTTCTGGTAGAGTTTGGAGGCCTGAGACAGAACTGGAAGAGGCCAGAAGAGATTTGGTCTGTGAATCGGTGCGAGGGATGGTGCAACCTCAAAAAAGAGTTGGCATCGGTTTTGGTGACTGGAAAAAACCTTGGGAGAGGATGGATGAGCGGGAAAGAGAGAGGGAGGTTATGCTGAGAGTGAAGGAGAACATTGAAAGAGAGAGGGAGGTGCAAGTAGGTTCTCTGGAGATGCAGAGCAGGTGGGGTGAGTGGAGAGAGCTCGTAATGAAGACGGATTTGAGCTGGCATACACTTTTTAAGTATGGTGACTCACTTATTGGGTTCATGCTAAGTGCTGTGTACGGCACCCTCTTAACCCCCTCTATGGTTTCCAAGTGGAGTGAAGATGAGGATGGGAAGTGCAAGTTATGTGAGGAGAGGATGGGCACCATTCAGCACATTTTGGCTGGGTGTAAGGTGGCCCTTAGTCAAGGAAGGTATAGATGGCGGCACGACAAGGTTCTGAAGCAGATCTCTGAACAGGTTGTCTTCCATTGTGATCGCCGAGTGAACACTTATAAGAACAAGGCCGGCAATGGAAGACAGTTCATTGATTTTATTCCTGCTGGGAGGAGAAAAGCAGGTACAGACGACCGGAAGGAGAGTCGTGGTTTTGGGATCCTGAGTGGGTATCGGGATTGGATAGTGCTGTCAGACCTTGAGGGGCAGCTTAAGTTTCCCAGTGAGATTGTGGAAACACGGCTGAGGCCGGACCTTGTGATATTCTCAAGGTCGGCAAAGACAGTTATTTGGTGGGAGCTAACAGTACCATCTGAAGAGCGGATCGCTGAATCGCACGAGTACAAACTCGACCGATACAGTGGTCTGCAGGCTGAGATTCAGGCGAAAGGTTGGTGCTGTTATAATGCCGCAGTCGAAGTTGGAGCTAGGGGAGTGGTTGCGCAGAGTTTGGAGAGAGCTGCGAGGAGGATTGGTTTTAGAGGAAGAGAGCTGAAGAAGCTGGTACGGGACAGTGGGAAAGAGGCAGCCCACTGTTCCAGATGGATTTACTTGTTATCGAGAAAGAGGGAGTGGGAGTTCAGGAAGGTTGGAGCTTGAGAGTTCACTATAACATCTAGAGGAACCATAAACGTTATCTCGTCGCCAATTGCGAGCTCTAACGGGTCTCCTCAAGTGACTCTCGGATCAGATGGTGGTTCAAGGGTGGACTGCTGGGGCGCCTGACAGGAAACCGTATTGCGATTAAAGCCCCGAAACGGTGTCAGGTTGGTAACTGATGATTCTGATCCATGCTCCTGTGAGTTTGCTGTTGTATCTCAACTTGCTAAACTGAGGCATCTCCGCATCTTGGGTGAATATGTGTACATCTTCATACTAAACCCAGGTGTGGCATGTGTCAGTGAATACGGGCGAGCGGATGCAATAGCGAAGGTGGTGTGGCAAGGCCTAAAAGACACAGTCAGATAGTTGTCAGCTCGCTGACTGTAAGGGAGAAGGTATATCCGTATTTCGCTGCTACTGATGCAGTCCTTGATCTGGCAATCAAGGCTTCTCTGTTTTTCGTCTAACTATGTACCGTTGGGCTTGTGGAACCCGTAAGGGGGACATACATAGGTTAGAATGGTTTTGTGCACCAAGAGGAGTGAGGGAATGAGGGTTGAAGAGAGAGAGAGCTTGAGAGTTGTTAGGGTGGTTAGGATCAGTAGGTGGAGTGTTTGGTTGGAGCTTTCTGTTTTTGCTGTATAGCATTTTAGTCACTCCGCAGTTTATTAACTGTGTCTCAACTCTAAAACATTTGACTTCCCAAAAAGACCCGACTACAAAATTATTGTTCAGAAAGTAATGACCGCTTCATAACCCGGCTTCTACCCCATTATTGTTAATAAGACAGAGTCTCCCGGCTCCTACCCCATTATTGTTAATAAGACAGAGTCCCCCGGCTCCTACCCCATTATTGTCAATAAGACAGAGTCCCCCCGGCTCCTACCCCATTATTGTTAATAAGATGTAGAGTCCCCCGGCTCCTACCCCATTATTGTTAATGAGACAGAGTCCCCCGGCTCCTACCCCATTATTGTCAATAAGACAGAGTCCCCTGGCCCCTACCCCATTATTGTTAATAAGACAGAGTCCCCCGGCTCCTACCCCATTATTGTTAATAAGACAGAGTCCCCCGGCTCATACCCCATTATTGTTAATGAGACAGAGTCCCCCGGCTCCTACCCCATTATTGTTAATAAGACAGAGTCCCCCGGCTCCTACCCCATTATTGTCAATAAGACAGAGTCCCCCGGCTCCTACCCCATTATTGTTAATAAGACAGAGTCCCCCGGCTCCTACCCCATTATTGTTAATAAGACAGAGTCCCCCGGCTCCTACCCCATTATTGTTAATAAGACAGAGTCCCCCGGCTCCTACCCCATTATTGTTAATAAGACAGAGTCCCCCGGCTCCTACCCCATTATTGTTAATAAGACAGAATTCCCCGGCCCTTGAGGTAACTTACTTTCTTGAACAGCAGTGTTCTCAATATACTGGCATGAGTTAACAGGTATCATAGCAGGACCACTACACCGTCCCAGAGCTCCTATCCTGCTGTAACACGTGACTAGCTCCACCTGTAATAGATAACACGTGATACATTGTTACACTGTTAATACTACTTTAAGTGCTGGGCCACTGATTCTGTTCAAAATATATAATTTCTTGTGATCTGGTTCATCACATTAAGTGCTCGAATTCAGGATTTGTCTGAAGATCACCTCGACTGATTGGTCCTACTGTAATTATTAGCAAACCTTAGCAGAGGTCTTGTTGTAGAATTTGTTAGGAATGTCCTCAATATAAGCCTTGTCCAAGCTTTTCAAAGTACTGGTCAACTCTACGAACCTCTCCGCGTGCTGTTTTAGCTTCCCAAAATAGGGTCCTGGTACACACACAATGGATTACTAATTTTATGATATCCAACAATAAAATTTATCCATTTTTTTGATTAATCGATTGATTTATTTATTTAATCTTTAGAAATACAATTTTCTTAGCGGACAATCTCGACTCTCCTTTAATCTAAAGATGAATATATTATACATAAAAAATATGATACTAACTTACCCACGACGCTGAGTAGAGCCATATAGTCCAAATCAGATTGGGTTAGGTCGGGTCCGATTGGAATGTTTGACTGGAGCAGGATAGGGTCTGGAGGTGGGGCTGTTTCACTCATGTTCTTACTGAAATAAAGCCATGTCTTAAGAAGTGAAATAAATATCAAATTGTGAATATTGTCTACAGTACACTTTTAAGAGTGTGCACGGGGAAGTACAGTTTCTCATGTTAACCCTCACAGTTTCCCGATCATTCGGCTGCTTCGACCGTGAGGGTTACATAAACCCAATACTCAATAGTAAAGTGTCCTTTGTGAGGGTTACATAGACCCAATAATCAATACTCAATAGTGTCCTTTGCTTACCCCAGGGTATTTAAAACACTCAGTCAGACAATATTGAGAGCATTTAACATTTTCTAGAAATGCTAGGATCTAATTCTATTAAGAAATTAAGATTACCGAGATAAGCAGTCTAACCCACACATTCCACCAGGAGAACATAATATGAAAAAAAACATCGATCTAACAATTTTGCCACTTCGACCGATGAATCATGCTACAAGCCGACCAAAACTGGTGACCAAACGTCCGGAAACAGAAACAAAATCAACAATATTAGCCAAAAGAACCAAGCGGAACCTGTATAGAGAATTTTTCTTCAATCTAGTACGCGAAGTTGGTATATTTTCCAAGAAAACAATCGTCTTAGTTCGTGGAAAAACCCATGACATAACAGGAGTAATGAACACTTTTTGTGCCAGGATTGAATTTCAAAACCAATCCTTTGCCTTATACATAATATATTATATTAAGTAGATTATATTCAAATTATTATGTAATATAATCTACCTTACATAATGTATTGAGAACAGGTATGGAGAATTACAACGTGAGTGGCATTCGCAGAAAGACTCAGTAAAACTCTGATTTACTGCGGAGTTTGGGGAAAGGAAACAGTAAATACGATTATTGAGGTTTTGTGACTTGCAACAAATTATCTAGAAAGTAAAAAGTAGAAAGTAGAAACTGTCCTATGGTCGAAAGTGAAGCGCCCAGAAAAACAAAATAGCAAGCGAACATGTTGCAATACTAATAGATGTCTATCAAAACTCAGCATCGTTCCATCACAGTGTACGAGTTTATCGCTAGATAAGATATACATGATATGAGTCGAAGTTACAGCATCGGATAGAGATCATGAAGAAAAATAAGAAAAATTGTTTCAAGAGTTGCAGTTGATGAGTTGATAGATCAATCTTAGTGTACATAAAAGGCTAATGAGTGCCGAAAATTCGATTATTTTTATATATAAAATTTCTGGTTTTGAGTAGCAAAAAGGCGAAATAACGTGATTACTGACGAGTAGACGTCATAATTTATGACAATATATTGTGATACAGTTCATTTCATGTGGATTTATACATTGATGTTCCTTATGACGTCATAATTAATGCCCCCGTGGTAAGATCATGATGAAAGAAAACAAAATAAGAGTAGGTACGTACCTAACATAACCGTACAGTAAGCTAACAAGATATGTGGCTGTTTCCTCAGGCTTGGAGCCGCGTCTGGGACTATACCTCCTTCCTGAGTACCTGAAAAGTGGGTACTGTCACATTACTCAATATACATTGTACATTACTTATAAATTATACATTATACAATCTACTACAAGAAATGACTTCTATTCGTAAGAATGCGAGGAAGATCACAGTCCCATTCTCACTAACTGAAACAAATACCACACAAATATGTCACGTGACAATATACCTGGTCCACTCCGCTGCTCTGCTCCCAATGTCTTGCTCTATCTGACCAAAATTAACCATATCGTCCCATGGAGAGTCATTTCCCTGCCAAATAATATTTTAGGAATCATGACATTACAACATGCCATGTTTATGAGATAATGTGAATCACATATTATACCATAGGTATATTATGTGAATAGTACGTCATCTACCTGGTCTCTGTAAAATACCAGTAACTACCAGTAGTGTACTGTAAAAATAGTACCAGTAATAACCCGGTACCTGTAGGATGTCAGCTAGTAACTACCAGTAGTGTACTGTAAAAATAGTACCAGTAATAACACGGTACCTGTAGGATGTCAGCTAGTAACTACCAGTAGTGTACTGTAAAAATAGTACCAGTAATAACCCGGTACCTGTAGGATGTCAGCTAGTAACTACCAGTAGTGTACTGTAAAAATAGTACCAGTAATAACACGGTACCTGTAGGATGTCAGCTAGTTTGCTGCCACTGTACTGTAAAAATAGTACCAGTAATAACACGGTACCTGTAGGATGTCAGCTAGTTTGCTGCCACTGTACTGTAAAAATAGTACCAGTAATAACACGGTACCTGTAGGATGTCAGCTAGTTTGCTGCCACTGTACTGTAAAAATAGTACCAGTAATAACACGGTACCTGTAGGATGTCAGCTAGTAACTACCAGTAGTGTACTGTAAAAATAGTACCAGTAATAACACGGTACCTGTAGGATGTCAGCTAGTAACTACCAGTAGTGTACTGTAAAAATAGTACCAGTAATAACACGGTACCTGTAGGATGTCAGCTAGTTTGCTGCCACTGTACTGTAAAAATAGTACCAGTAATAACACGGTACCTGTAGGATGTCAGCTAGTAACTACCAGTAGTGTACTGTAAAAATAGTACCAGTAATAACACGGTACCTGTAGGATGTCAGCTAGTAACTACCAGTAGTGTACTGTAAAAATAGTACCAGTAATAACACGGTACCTGTAGGATGTCAGCTAGTAACTACCAGTAGTGTACTGTAAAAATAGTACCAGTAATAACACGGTACCTGTAGGATGTCAGCTAGTTTGCTGCCACTGTACTGTAAAAATAGTACCAGTAATAACACGGTACCTGTAGGATGTCAGCTAGTAACTACCAGTAGTGTACTGTAAAAATAGTACCAGTAATAACACGGTACCTGTAGGATGTCAGCTAGTAACTACCAGTAGTGTACTGTAAAAATAGTACCAGTAATAACACGGTACCTGTAGGATGTCAGCTAGTAACTACCAGTAGTGTACTGTAAAAATAGTACCAGTAATAACACGGTACCTGTAGGATGTCAGCTAGTTTGCTGCCACTGTACTGTAAAAATAGTACCAGTATAATAACACGGTACCTGTACCTTACCTTTGATACCTTTGATCTGCTTCGTCGAAACTCGACAGGCCATCAGAGTTGCTGACCACCCCAGAGAGAAGATGCCTCTCGATCGTTACGCCAGTCCAGTATAGAATTGGAGTTCGGTGATGTGAAGCCCCGGATTGGCAGTTTATCCGGCAAGGAAAGCATGAATGCCGTCATATGATGCTTGAAGCCATCATGTTTGGAGACTGCACGTATGTGCGAAGGTATACAGTTCCAGAGTCTGGGACCCATTACACCAAATGATGTTTCATATAGAGTCTGGTGAGCAGCTGAGCTTTTTGTACGGACAGCTGGAACCTTAGCAAGGGTACCCAATCGTGGATTTACTGTGAACTGTACTTCAAGGTCGTTGGATGTGAAACCATGTAGGATTTTCCACATGTGCATGACAATGTAACGTTCTCTGCGCCTCTGAAGTGACATGAGGGACAGGGTTTTTAGGCGATCCCAATAATGGAGATGCTGTAAACCATGGATCTTTGAAGTGAAAGTTCTTTGTACACTTTCAAGCTCCTGAATTTCATACACTTTCGCCGGATTCCACAGAGGAGAGCAATACTCTAAGTGGCTACGGACTAGTGACTTGTATAGTGTTAACATAACACCAGTATTGCGAGAGTGGAAGACACTGAATACCCATGCTGCCATCTTCCTCGCTTTATCACAACTAGATCGTATTATATGTGATGTCCAGGACGTATCACTGGATACTGTTATACCGAGATCACGGAGCTGATCCACAGGACTGAGTATAGTACCAGTTGATGTTCTGTATTGGAACTGTTCATGGACAAAAGGAAGCTCATAGAGAGGATTACGTTTGTTGGCAAGATGGCATATGTACTCAAACTTATCCTCATGTAGTGCCATGTTGTTTCTTGATGACCACTCAGTGACTTTGTCAAGATCAGACTGAAGCTCAGTAACATTATGTGAATCACTGATGGATCTGCAAATTCTTGTGTCGTCAGCGAAACATCTTAACGTTGCAACACGCAGCTAGCAATGTCATTAATGAATATTAAAAACAGTATGGGACCTAAAACTGTTCCTTGGGGGACACCACTCATAATAAGAGCAATGATAGACATGTGACCATCTACAACAACTTGTTGAGTTCTATTTGTAAGAAATGACTCGATCCAGATGATGATTTTGGGATGAAAACCATATAGCTGCAGTTTTTTGATAAGAAGTTGATGATCTACTTTATCAAAGGCCTTGGCATAATCCAAGTATATAGCGTCCATGTCGTCACCATTTGATAACGCCTCGATGATGTCATCAAAATGATGAAGCAGCTGAGTGAGACAACTTTTCCCCGATCGGAAGCCATGCTAGTAACTACCAGTAGTGTACTGTAAAAATAGTACCAGTAATAACCCGGTACCTGTAGGATGTCAGCTAGTAACTACCAGTAGTGTACTGTAAAAATAGTACCAGTAATAACACGGTACCTGTAGGATGTCAGCTAGTTTGCTAATAGTACCAGTAATAACCCGGTACCTGTAGGATGTCAGCTAGTAACTACCAGTAGTGCACTGTAAAAATAGTACCAGTAATAACCCGGTACCTGTAGGATGTCAGCTAGTAACTACCAGTAGTGTACTGTAAAAATAGTACCAGTAATAACCCGGTACCTGTAGGATGTCAGCTAGTTTCTACCAGTAGTGTACTGTAAAAATAGTACCAGTAATAACACGGTACCTGTAGGATGTCAGCTAGTTTGCTGCCACTGTACTGTAAAAATAGTACCAGTATAATAACACGGTACCTGTAGGATGTCAGCTAGTAACTACCAGTAGTGTACTGTAAAAATAGTACCAGTAATAACCCGGTACCTGTAGGATGTCAGCTAGTAACTACCAGTAGTGCACTGTAAAAATAGTACCAGTAATAACCCGGTACCTGTAGGATGTCAGCTAGTTTGCTGCCACTAATAGTACCAGTAATAACCCGGTACCTGTAGGATGTCAGCTAGTTTCTACCAGTAGTGTACTGTAAAAATAGTACCAGTAATAACACGGTACCTGTAGGATGTCAGCTAGTTTGCTGCCACTGTACTGTAAAAATAGTACCAGTATAATAACACGGTACCTGTAGGATGTCAGCTAGTAACTACCAGTAGTGTACTGTAAAAATAGTACCAGTAATAACCCGGTACCTGTAGGATGTCAGCTAGTAACTACCAGTAGTGTACTGTAAAAATAGTACCAGTAATAACACGGTACCTGTAGGATGTCAGCTAGTTTGCTAATAGTACCAGTAATAACCCGGTACCTGTAGGATGTCAGCTAGTAACTACCAGTAGTGCACTGTAAAAATAGTACCAGTAATAACCCGGTACCTGTAGGATGTCAGCTAGTTTGCTAATAGTACCAGTAATAACACGGTACCTGTAGGATGTCAGCTAGTTTGCTAATAGTACCAGTAATAACACGGTACCTGTAGGATGTCAGCTAGTTTGCTGCCACTGTACTGTAAAAATAGTACCAGTAATAACACGGTACCTGTAGGATGTCAGCTAGTTTGCTGCCACTGTACTGCTGAGGAAGCCCGGGTACGAACAAGTTCGCCTCGTGGAGACGTGTCTCATCCGTCCACAGAGACAGAGACATGAAGAAGTGAGACAGCTTGGAACGGAACAGCATGTCCTCCGTGATGTCTTCCTCCGTGTCGTCTGCAAGGGGCACGTGTTATGCACGTGTAAGGGGCACGTGTTATGCACGTGTAAGGCCAAGGGGCACGTGTACTGTGTGTTCAGTTATATTGTTTCGTGATTTTTTTCCCTGCTCTTGCCGAAGGCAAAAAGATCGTAGGGAATAAGTAATCGGGTTTGGATATATGAGCTATCCCGATGGACCTGCGGTGACGACAAAAGTCTGCTCCTTCGCAATATAGACCACTCCCCTATAATTATGCGTAAAGGAAGCGTCTGTTATGCTGCGCGCGACGCTCGGCATGTGTTAGTTAATTGCAGTATCCAACGCGAATTTCAATTGTCAAACGATGCCGTTCAAATTAAGTTAGCCCAAAATTTGTGCGCGGCGTACTAAATATTCGAGTACATGCAATCCTGCACGCGCGCAATGACAAATTACGATGAAAATATTGCAACTTTTTAACAACAAAATAATCCAATATCTAATTTTTATCAATCGATAAAATTAACTTTTCGTTGCAAATATTAACGGTTTAACTTTAAGCAGGGAAAATTAATCGTGCGTGGTGTAACCGCGGCGAAATTCTTGTTGGATTCGTAATGATATTTGTTCTGTGCGTTACAGAAGGAAATAATTCAATGTAGTCCGAGGAATCCTAACTTTCCTCGCGTCCTAAGATGGCTAAGAATCTCTTGTCTTATATAATATAGGTCCGACCATCTGCCCAATATATTATGGTATTAGGGTGTGGTTCACTGATTATGGAGATTTGTTCATTGTTGCTTGGTCTACAACACACACCCTAATAGGTCGAGTTATGTTGTTTACACCTCGGAATGTTACATGAATATTGATAAAGGTACTCCGTCACACAATACGAGTCACACTTACCTAACTCAAAGAACTGGGAGGTGTCGGTCAGTCTTTGTTTCATCGCTCTGATCTCTCGCACTTGGAACATCCCCTGAAATTGAGTGTTCTACATTTTATCACTCATTACCAGTTCTCAAAGATTATTAAGAAACTGTTTACACCATTGAAATATTCAAAACCCCTAAAAGAAATCAAGTCATCCTAAAATGGTGATCAGTACAGATCAAGACAGCTAGAGTGAAAATTTGTTTCTCCAAGCAACTCTATCATCGGCTAATATCTTAAGCTTATTAAGATCATTCAAAGAGTTAAGTTTTAAACCTCTACGGGTCAAATCATTCACAATAATCTTGAACAAATTCTTACGATGCGCACCGACGCGCCCTTTACAGTTTGTTGTGACAGCAAACTTTAACGCTAATGCAGCGGGGGAATCATCAGCACTACGCAAGATATGACCTAGGAGCTTCCACCTTGCTTTAGGGACACGATCTGATAGCTTTACTGAGTTACATCTTAGGTATAAGTTTGCATTGGATATTGTTCCATGAGGCCAATAAATGTTCAGTAATGATCTAAGGTGTTTTCTATGGCAAATGTCTAGTTTTTCTAGTGACTTTGCAGTAGGACACCAACTACTGCAATTGTACATGATGATTGATACAATTTGGGCTTCGTATACTGCTATCTTTCTGGTAACGGAGATATTCTGCTGAGACCAGATCTTGGTGAACTTATAGAAGGCATTGTTCCCAGCAATGCATCGAGCAGCTATATCACTTTCACTACACAACAATGACCCGAGAATCTTACTCTTCCGCCAATCTTCATTTCCACGTAACATGGTATCATCACGACCAGGGATTGTTTCCCCAACAGGAGCGAGGAAAACATGGGTAAATTCTGTTTTCTCTGTGTTAATGAACAGGTTAAACTCCTTGAAGACTTCCTTAGCTATTGGTAGGATAGCTTCTAAGGATTCTTTTTCCACGTTCATGAAGTTACAATCATCTGAATACGCTGACTCCAGTGGCATACCTTCATTTGAAATAGGGGGATTGGGTATGTGTGGGGGAGACTCTGCAAGTCGATGGCGTAGTTCTATAAGAGCTCCTGCCAGGACAAGAGTGAAAAGCTTGCCGGAGAGACTGTCGCCTTGAAAGGACCCAAGAAGACTCTCAAATACAGCAGATAGTTCTCCTTCCACTCTGACCTTGAGCATGGTGTTGGTTAAGAGGAGTCTTACTAGTCTGAGGTCGTCGTCTGTGCATCCAGCTTTGACAAGAAGGTCGAGTATTGTCTGGCGTTTGATTGTGTCAAATGCTCGAGACATATCTATGCCCATCTTGTGATACTGGAAGTGTTTACGCGTGACAACTGATATCAACATCCGCTCAGCCCACACTAGATCACCACAACTTCTACCATGTTTATACCCCGCCTGCGTGCTACCAGTGAAAGCATCAACTTTGTTTTCAATTCTCTTCAGTACAATCATGGATAATATCTTACGAGCACCATTTGATAGACATAGAGGTCGTAGACTAATGACGGGACCAGCTGGTTTGCGAGGTTTCGGTAAGGGGGTGATGATGGCTTCACCTATAACATCAGGAAATGAATTGGTCTCCAATGCGCTATTGATGATCTCGGCATATTTTGACCAGAATTTTGTACCAGCATTTTTCAACCACTCGTTGTAGACTTTATCTGGACCAGTGGCTTTGTTGTTCTTGAGAGATTGGGCGGCTTTCTTTACTTCATCACATGTGATGGGTATGTCTAGGCAGCGTCCATCCCCTATAAATGCTTGAAGTGGTTCATCCTCACATGTGAACTGCTTTTCGTAGTAGTCTCTGATCACTTGAGCTTTACCAGCATCTGTGGCAACAAAGTTACCATCTTCATTGTGGACACTGATAGTAGCTTTGGGCTTAGTGTCAGCTAGAGTACGCACAGCTTCAAACATCTGCCTTGTGTCATCTGTTGACATGATGGTTCGAGCGATGTCATCGGCACGTGTGTCAGCAAGGTTCTTGAGATGCTTACGGATGTCTTTCTGTAACCTGTTGATCCTTGTACGGACTTGAGTTCTGTCAGCAACTTTGTTGTTACAGTTAAGTGCAGCTTGCAGGGTTTGTCTCTCTTTTACAAGGGCTTCAACAGTCGAGTCACTACTGAAGTTACGGTTTCTGGAGCGTGGTAGGGTCCCGATTACTTCATCAGCAGTTGTCTTAAGGACATCCATCAGGTTAGTGAGATCATCATTAGGGTTTGATGTTACCTGAGAGTTGTTGACTTTCTGTTCGACTGAAAGTTGGTATTTAACTTTGGTGGGAAGGTCAGTGGTGAGCAGGGAGTTGTTATATCTCTTAACTACTGAACTTATCTTTTTTGTGGGAAAGATTTTGTAGTAGGGGGCTAGTTTGATCTTACAAGCAACGAGTCTGTGGTCTGAGTTAGTAGCAAGACCGCCATATGATCTACAATCTTGGAACATGAATCTGCTGCGTGTTCTGCACAAAATGTAATCTAATTGGGCAAAGACTGGACGAGTAAGTTTGCTACCTTTAGGGCGACCTTTGGCAGAAATACACATAGAGAAAGTAGTTCGATGTCTACAAGGATGATCAAAATAGGTGTTGGTAGCAAACAGTTTGTTTAAGCACATGAAGTTTAATAAATGTTCACCATTGAAGTTCCTTGTACCCATTCCAAACTTGCCCATATACTCTGTTACACCATACTGATAGTCCAAAGGAGATAAGGTTCCCAACTTACTGTTGAGATCACCACAAACAAACAATTCATGAGATGCAGGAACTGAAATAGCATGGGTGAGTTCTCTGTAGAACTTTCTAAGAAGGGCAGGGTTTCCTTCTGCTTTAGGATTAGTCGGGCCATACCCGTTAACAATTCTGATATTTTTAGGATGGGATGAAAGATTAGAAGGAATGACGACATTAATATAGGAAACCCGGTCTGAGGTATACTGATAGTCTGTGACATAAGGTAGTAATCTAGGACTTATGATGAAACCTAGTCCACCATGTCGTCCTTGATTTTGCTCCATCATGATCAATTTGTAATTGTTTCTGAGATATCTAGTGGAATGATTTTTTGACTTTTGTCTCTTGAACGCACAAGATATCAACACTATATTCAAAACAATCCGTTCCGAGTTCTTCCTGTTTCTCCGTCTTAGAGAGCCCTTTTGCATTCAGTGAAGCTAGGCTCAGTAAGGAAGTAGAAGAAAACTTTGAACTCATAACTGTCTCAAAGATACACTGAGAAATCAGTTAATAATATATAAGGGCCAGGGTATTATATAAGTATTAAAGTTAGTTATTATATATATATTATATATAATATATATGGACACGTTCATTGAAGTTTGAGGATATTGGTAATTATTAGTGACCCTACTGAATGGCACGATGATGTAAAATGTGTCACACTATGAAACTATATGAACCCTCTAACCCTAAGATAATCGTTTCATCCTCTAGATAAACTTTGTCGCATAACGATATCTTTATCAGACGATAAGATATCGCTTAAATGCGGCCGGCAGTGAGTTGTAAACTTTGTCACACTATAAAAACGTGACGGAGTTTATATGGACCCCTTGTTGCCGTGTTTGACCAAATTTTCGAATTTCCAATTCATAGAATAGCTGTATATATGACTATTATCTACATATTTAGCGACTTTTTTCCTTAAATGGTAGCACCATGTAAACTCTGTCACACATTTAAGAAATTTATATGAGGGATGTTTATGATATCCTGACAAGAAATGCCGAATAGTCTAGCATTATTTTGTGAGCTGAATGTGTTTGGAATTGTTCACATATTTCATTGTTATAGGCAAATACAAATACAGAAGGCAGAAATAGGTAAATTTAGTCACATAAATTTGTATGATATCTCAACATGTGTGAAATTGAGTAAATATTAGTATACCAACTTAAACACCCTATATTACGTACTATGGATCAATTAACAATATTTCAACCATACGCCGGTCATATAAATTATTATATGGCAGTGATATGTTAACATTGGATAAATTTCAACACCTGAACAGGGTAAAAATTTGTAAATTTCGTCACAAAAAAAAATATTATAACTTTATTTGCTCCATGTTGGCAAAATAACTAATTTATCGACATAGTGATGGTGATAAAGTAACATTATATACTAATTGAGGTATGATTCTTCAAAATAGGGGCAAGAAATGTAAATTTCGTCACATCAGCTATTGCATTAGTCAGATAGATTTTCTTTCATATCAACTGCCCTTATTATAGTTGGAATGGATTTATACACGAAATATAGAAACCCATGCCCATTTTTCATCACATTGAAATTATACTGTTGGGGCAGGAAAAGTAAATTTCGTCACATTTCGGTAAATTAGTGATATGAGTTCTGATTTGCTGAAAAATAACCTACCAATAATTCCTGGAAGAATATTGAATTCTAATCGGGGTATGGTTCTTCAAAATAGGGTCAAGAAATGTAAATTTCGTCACATACGTCATTTTAAAATTTAGATACATTTTCTTTCACATCAACAGTCCTAATTATAGTTTGAAATGATTAATGAGTTTGTAGTTTTGTTACGTGTTGAAAAACAGAGCTCCCTTATCTCTGTTTAATCGGAAATTTTAACTGCCACTGCACTGCTACTGCACGGTGTTTGTACTTTACCTTTGTACATCTATACAAGTACAAATACACAATTGCAATGGAAAAGTCTGCTCATAACTCTGCAAAGAATCTTCTCGTCAACGGTTTATGTAAAGCTTGTTCGAATGATGAGGTTGTCAAAAGTACCGACATTGTACAGTGTTTTTGGTGTAAGGACAGTTTTCATGCTATCAACTGTGATGAAACTTGCAATGTCAGTGCGCCCACGGTTTTTACTGCTCACCTGTCTCATGCTGTGAACAACACTTCATCTTATGCTAAACGATTTGGTCGCTTTCTATTTATCTGTAATGATTGTAGTACTGCTGAGGAGGAAAAGAGGGCTGCTACTACCGTAGATCGGGTAGGATTGTTAGATAATAAAATAGATGCCATA